CTCAGGAAATTACAACAGAGGCATCTCAAAGATTAAAGGCAGAGTCACCGTCTTGGGAGACAAACAAACTGCCAGTCACTGCTGTGAACTTGGAAGCAAACAGAAGGGCAGCACAGGAAACAAATAGGATGAGGAGCAGGAGAGGCAAAAAAGACTCTTTGGAGCAAAAGACTGAGGAATTTACCGAAGATGGGAGCAACCTAAAACTAATTCCTTCTAAGTTTAGGTCAGACACAGAAGTGGATGAATCTCTCAAAGATTCTTTGGGCTCTCTTTGTGTCAAGAACACATCCCAAGTCACAAAGGACCAGAACAGCCCAGCTGCCGTGTCAGTACCTGCTGCAAACAGTGACAGTCTTGCTCCTGGCCATCAAAAACGGACAAGAAACCAACAGGGAATACTTAAAGCAAAGCAAACTGAAATCCTACAGGAGAATCCAGCACAAAGAAACAGAGCAGTGTTTAGAAGAGGTAAAAAAGTTAATTTTGAACTTGGAGAAGACAGTTCCAAAGAGGTTGAAATAAAAAGCAGTTTACCAGGGGATGCTGAAGGAATGACTGACAACAGTCAACAGGAGAATTTGGAAAATCCTTCACGAGTGAGGAGGGGCAGAAGAAAGCAAGTTGATTCCATTCCACAAACAGCCAGTCCTACCTTTATGGAAAAACAAACATTAACTGCAGATCACAGTAAAGATGAGGCTTTTGTGAAGGAGGAAGGTACTCCCTGTTCAATAGAAGCCAATCCACCGAGACGAGGGAGAAGGCGAGAGGTTGGTGCAGCATCACAGACATCGAGATCTCCTTCTGTCAGAACGAGACGTGGGTTGCTGGAAGGAGGTGATAAAAAGATGACTGTGAGGGAAGATGAAAATCCAGCTTTGGGAAATAAAACTTCTCAGGCAAAAGCAAATGCATCAGCAAGGGACAGAAGGAAGAAGATTGATCTTGCAGCAGAGGCAAAAAGTTCAGCTCCTCTCCAGAGAAAACGTGGCTTGTCAGAGACTGATGCTAAAGATGGGGGAGCTAACGAAGAACAAAGTGTGCCTTTGGAAACAGTGTCCTGTGCAGAAGAGAAACCATTAGGAAGGGGCAGAAGGAAAGAAACTGCACTGGCATCACACACACCAAATTCCATTCTTCTTAGAGGGAAACGTGGTTTGCCAGTGGATGATGGTAGGGAAGACACGCCCAAAAAAGAGCAAAACATTCCCTTAAAAACTGATGATTCATCTGTAAAAGAAAATCAACTGAGAAAAAGCAGGAGGAAAGAAATTGCCCTCAAAGAAACCACAAGCCCTAACCAGGGAGAACAGGTCCCATCAAAACAAAGTGGTAGGAAGAATAACTATAGGGAAGCAAAAAAAGTGAATTTGGAGAATTCTTCCCGAGAAAACAGGGATCTTTCAAAAGAGAACTTGAGGCAAACAAGCACTTCAGTGGCTGGTAGTTCCACCTCACTTCAAGGTTTGCCAGAAGATGGTAAGGATGGAGCTCCTGAAGAACAGCAGAGTAAACTTTTGGAAGGAGCTCCACCTGCAAAAGAAAATCCATCAAGACTGAGCAGAAAGAAAACAACTTCTTCCACATCTGCAGAAACTTCTTCCACTTCTCTCAGGGAAAAACCCAGCCTGCCCAAAGGTAGAGGGCAAAAGAGGATTCTTCAAGAAGCTGAAGCTACACCTCCAGAAAATAATTCATGCCGGGGAAGAACAAGGCAAGCGAGGAATAACAGGAGGGAGGTACAATTCACATCAGAGGCAGCTACTTCTACTTCTCTCCATAAAAACAGTGAGTCGCCTGAAAATGGAAATGCTCTGGAAACTGAGAATTTGTGTGTGACATCCACTGGTTGTGAGGGCAGGAATCAGTCTGGAAAAGGAAAGGAGGGGAACCCTGTGCCACAGGCAACATCTACTTCTCGCAGAAGAAAGTGTCAGCTGCCAGCAGATGACTCGGCACCCAAAAAACTAAAATCAGGTGAGTGAGAATTTGCTTTCTCTTTTCTAAGGATGGCAAAGTTACGTGCAAAGCTCTGTGGGCTGATGTAGATCATTGGATCAGAACCATTCAGGTTGGAAAAGATCTCAAAGATCCCAACTCCCTCAGCTACTCCTGGTGCTCCAGGCTCTTTCCCAGCTCCCTTCCCTTCTCTGGACACGCTCCAGCCCCTCAGTGTCTTGTTGTGAGCAGCCCAAACGTGGACAAAGCATTTGAGGTGCCTCACCAGCTCAACACAATCACTTCCCTGCTCCTTTTGGCCACCTAAAATATTCCCTGGAATTTTCAACTTAATGTGATATAGCTTGAAAACTACCATGATGCAAATATTATCAAACAAACATTGAAATAGAAAATGACAGTGGCTCTTTGGAGCTCCATATTGAGGAATTTCCTGCCATAAAACTTAGATTTTCATGTTTGCAGGACTTTCCTTGGGTGTTGGTGATGTTTTAGTTGTACATTTCAGTGGAAGGAATTTTACCTCAAATGGCAGCTAATTGGTTTTGGTGCTCTCATTAATGTTAACCTACTTTCAGAAATAGCTGTAAATCCTCAGGGATGCAACTTAAAGGATATTGGATGTGCAGAAGAATGGGCTTTGTATCTGGTTTGTTGGATTCAGAGATGTAATCTTTGGAATGTTGTCAGTAGGGACATTTCCCTTAAAAACAGTGGAAGTGAAGATCAAATTTTGTGTGAATTGTTTGGTTGGTGATACAAATTTACAGTTAATTTTTCTGTCTGTAAATAGGGAATGCTGAAAATGGATCACTGGGAAAAGGAAAAAGGAACAAAACTAAGGAAGAACTTGGGAAAGAGAATGTGAGGGCAGCTCAGACCTCTGGAGTCATGGACAGGAAGACAAGATCCAGCACAAGAACAAGGAAATAGTTTTAAGAGTCCCAGAACCAGTTTTTAAATCAATTCAGTCATTCAAATTCCAGGGTTTTTCTTTTCAATGTGAATTGATTTGCACTCAGATTTTAAGCTCAGATTTTGATAATTCAGTCATTCCTTTACAAAATATGTTTCTTACTGTGTTTTTTTAACAGCTTTGTCTATGTGTGGTGGTTCCTGAACCAGGGGTGCTTGTGCAAAGCTGCAAACATAAAAATACATCTGGTTTGACCAGTATTTATCCAATTTTTCTATTAATTAGTACAGCAATCAGGAAGCCATATTACTGCCAGGTGAAGCTATTTTCTGCTTGAATTTTCATATGCTTAAGTTTTATTTTTCATTAGAGCTCTGTAAATATTCTTTTAAAAAACTATAGCTGTATTAGAACTATTATACTGAAATTTTGATAATTTTTTCTTTAAAAATTAAGTTCTTTTTACTGAAAAGTGAAGATTTGCAAGTCATTAAACTTGTAAACAATTTGGGACTTGTGTGTTTTGTGTTTCTAAGAGTAGTTAAGAATGTGTAATTACTACTGTCTTCTCCCAGGTTTATTTCAAAGATTCCTTCTCTCTGGTGTGGTTTGGAGATGGTTTTTAGGATCTTTTATGGGTAATTTGTCTTTGAGGCTGGTAGGTTCTTGTTAATTTGTTAAATGCAGAAACAGAGAAATTTCAGCCTGGACGTGGAACTTCTGGGGAGTTTTTAGACCTGAATTAAAATCCTGAAAGTTTCTGTGGTCTGTGAGGAGTTAGGGATGTTCCTACAGTTGGAATCATAGAATTGTTAAGGTTGGAAAAGATCTCTAAGATCAAGTCCAACTGTTCCCCAGCACCACCACCATGTTCTCAAGTGCCACATTGACATGTTTTTTTGAGCACTTCCAGGGATGGGGACTCCCCCTCTGCCCTGGGCAGCTGTGCCAGGGCTGGACAGCCCTTTCCATGAAGAAATTCCCAATATCCAACCTGACCCTCCCCTGGCACAGCTTGAGGCCATTTCCTCTCCTCCTGTCCCTTGTTCCCTGGCAGCTGAGACTGACCACCCCCCCCTGGCCCCCCCCTCCTGTCAGGGAGTTGCAGAGTGAGAAGGTCCCCCCTGAGCCTCCTTTTCTCCAGGCTGAGCCCCCCCAGCTCCTTCAGCTGCTCCTGGTGCTCCAGACCCTTGCCAGCTCCGTTCCCTTCTCTGGACATGCTCCAGCCCCTCAGTGTCCTTGCAGTAAGGGGCCCCAGTTGGACTTTCTACTTACCAGGACCGGTGGATGGAATATCCCTCTTGACCAGTACCAAATTCAAAATGTTCCTTGTGACCCAAGTCAGCCCTTGGTTATCACTTTAGGACTGAGAATTATTTTCTCCATCTTCAATTTCAGCCTCCAAGTATGAGGAACATCTTTACCCCAGATGTTTCGTTGTCCTGTGGCACAGGATTGGTGATTTTTTTTTTCCCCCAACTTTCAGGTCACGAGGCTTTGTGCATCTTGTCACAACAACACCTGAATCAGGACTTCTTGGCTGTTCTTAAGGGTGTTTTGGAATCTCATGATTTCTGTAGTGTTACATCTTCACAGTTGGTTGTGTGGCAAAACAAATCTAAAAAAAAAAGGAAACATGGTAGAAAAAGTTAAATGCCAACTTTTCTGCATTGTCAATTTTTTTAATTTTTGATCTGGGCCCTTTCTTTAAGGAAAGAAAGAAGAGAACGGGACATAAAGTCAGGAAGCAGAGGTTTCCATGCACATAAAATTATCCATGACTGCCTGCATTTACAAGTTGCCGGGGAGATATATATTTATATATTTTTGTATCTACAAATTTATTTAAAA